TGTGTGTGAAAGTGCTAGAGACTACATTATTGAGATGTTAACTTTGTAATTAAATTTTATGTAGTGAAAGAATTTTAGTTTAAACAAAATTTTTAATGATCTTCTTATCGTAAGGGTGGTGTATGATTTGCAACATACACTTGATGAAATCACCTATATGAGTGTCAAGTGGGGCCGCTTGCTTGAGATCTTGACATGATGTCTAAAGCACTCATGAATACCGAACACACACATGGCTTAGTAAGCGCAACCCAGGGATAATAGAAAAGATTGTGGGAGTGTATTGTGATTGATAAACTTCTAACACATGTCAAGTGTCCTTAGTTCATATAATTTGTTATACCAGCTACATTGTGTGTTAAGTTCTCGATCTAGGACTAGTTCATGTAGCATGTTATACCTGCTCTGATGCACTACATCTTATAAAATATAGGAAATTTCTTCTTTTCTTTCTTTCCATCTTTCTTTCTCATCTTTTACAATATGTAGGGGATTGTTATAAAATTTGAAAAAGTATTGCAAAATCGTGCATATCTTTTGCCAAAATTCTCAATGATTTGTTATTTGGTTGACGACTAAAAGTCTCAGTAGTAGTTAGTTATGTGGTTTTGTGAACGTTGGTGGCTAGCTCACGAAACTACCAATTTGTACCCTAAGTTTTGTTTCTTCTCCACTTTCATAGGGTCTATAGATAGATTTTGATTTACTCTTCCAAATACACACTTCTCTCATTTTTCTTTCTTCTTTTAATTTCTTCCTTCTCTCTTTTCTTTCTTATATGAGGTTATTATTTTACTTTTTTTAAAGTTCTTTAATAGTTTTGATATCTTCTAAAATTTTTGCAAAGTTTTTATTATATTACGAGGGGATTATGCAATACAATGTGAATAAATTTTTAAAGAAAATAGATCCACACTTTAAGTAATTTTGTTTGTAATTTTATTATATTTTTGTTCGTAGTTTTATTTCGTAATTTTATTATATTTTTTGTCGGCACTTTCAACCTTAACATTGTGCAATTCCATTAGACACAAATTTAAAATAAGTTCTAAATTCATAGTGACATTAAAATTATGATAAACAATTAATCGATTATGTTCGAAATCTGTGGTTATAATTGATTATAGAGTAGACACATTCAATTACTTTTATCTTACTTTTTTTCTATTTTATTATTTTAAAACTATTCTTTAAAATAGTATTATAATTTTCAGCTTTTTGTTAGTTGTTAGGATTCTATTAACTAGTACTTTGGTAAACCATATTATTTTATAAAAATTTTAGTTTATTCCTTGTAAATATATCCTTTTTTTTAGTATGTCTAGTATTTGTTTTAATTTCTAACTCATTATTCACCTCAATAATTAAAAGCCACAAAGTAACCGGAGAGAATAATGCCAAAAGGAATTGGATACTATATGTGCTAAAATCAAATGATAAGTATATTATAAGAATTTAAACCATATTTTTTAAATAATTTTATATTATAATTTAAAATATAATTTACACATTCGAAATTTGGATTTATTATAAATTTTTAGTTATATCTATAAATAATTATTTATTACAAATTTTAATTGTATTAAAAGTAGTGGTTTACTAAAACACTATACTTTTTGTTAAATTCTAAAAACAAACCAACCAACCAATAATCTGTTTAAAGCAAAAGGGGTCAGTTTATGACATAGGATTTAATTATCTAAATAAAACTGTTCAATGTGTATTTAGCCATAAAAACCATAATGAAAAATAGAGTTGAACTCGCTGTAGCAGCTAAGAAGATAGAAAGAATCTTATCCACATCCGCAACGTAGGAGAGGATCGAAGTTTCATCTTAGAGACACAACATAGCATTACACACCACAAATATGCAAAAGCAGTAACCAGAGAAAAATGGCTTGTGTCTTTTCTGCATGTTCAGGTTCTGCTTCTCTTTTTCAAGGCACAAATTTCTTCCCCTTTGCAACCAAAGGGTCTTCTCTGCACCTCAAAAGATCACTCTCTGCCAAATGTGTAGCTTCTCTGGGAACTGAGATATCAGTGCCTCCAGCAGTTGATACTTTCTGGCAGTGGCTCAAGGAAGAGGGTGTTGTCTCCAGCAAAACACCAGTGAAGCCTGGTGTGGTGGCAGAAGGCTTAGGACTGGTTGCACTCAAAGACATTTCTAGGAATGAGGTTGTCTTACAGGTGCCCAAGAGGCTGTGGATTAACCCTGATGCCGTGGCAGCTTCAGAGATTGGGAAAGTGTGTAGTGGATTGAAGCCTTGGTTGGCTGTTGCGTTGTTTCTGGTAAGAGAAAGGTCAAAGGATGATTCTCTTTGGAAGCACTACTTCAGTATTCTGCCCAAGGAAACTGACTCTACAATTTACTGGTGGGTTTCTTTTGGTATGCTTGTTTAAACATGCTTAATGGGTATTTTGTTTGTTTTCATATGGTTGGTTGATTTAGTTGGTGTTGGTTATTCCAGTGCAGGTCAGAGGAGGAGCTCTCTGAACTAAAAGGTTAGTTAGTTACTTAATTGTGTCAATGTTTTAATGCATAAGCATGTAAATAAATGATGAAAAGATTGTGTTTTGGAGTAGTTGCCTTTGGAAATGCTTGTTTTGTGCTGAGGTTTTCAGCACTGCTGATTGAACTAATTTGTGTAGGGACTCAACTTCTGAATTCAACACTGAGTGTTAAAGAGTATGTGAAGAGCGAATTTAGGAGGCTGGAAGAAGAAATTATACTCCCTAATAGGAAGCTTTTCCCTTCTCCTATTACAATTGATGACTTCTTCTGGGCATTTGGAATTCTAAGATCAAGGGCATTTTCTCGCCTTCGCAATGAAAATCTAGTTGTGATTCCATTAGCTGACTTTGTATGGTCCTTTTCATTTTCTCTCTTTCTGTCGTGTAAACAGAGATAAACATCAACATATCAATTGTTTTGAGATAAAATCAAGAATAAATCTGTCATTTTAAGAGGATTAACTGTCAAAGCTGTAGATATTACCGGAATGCCAACTTTTACCCCTTAAAACGTGCACACTTTACTTGTTTTGTGTATGATATTGTCTTTTCCAAATTCAATTTCTGGATCAGATAAACCATAGTGCCAGAGTAACTACAGAAGATCATGCTTATGAAATTAAAGGAGCAGCAGGTCTTTTCTCCTGGGATTACTTATTTTCCGTAAGGAGTCCCCTTTCTCTCAAGGCTGGTGACCAGGTGAAGTGCCCTTGCCTCTGATTGTTTTTCTCTTCTCACGTTCCGCATGTATCTAAGAAGTTTATACATGAACTAACAAGCCAGTTCTTATTGATCAAAGCGTGTTATGAATTAAATAAGAACATGTTGAACAATCTTTTCCGTGAGAACTTTTAGGAGGAAAAAGTAAGAAGAAAATGAAATGAACTTCTTCACAAGTTAAAATTTGATTATCCATGAACTAATTGTGAAAGTTCTATCATTAGTTTCTCTACATTTTTAATGTTTTACTAGTTGCATAAGCTATCGAGAAATTCATTCCATTTTTTCTTTCTTTTTATTTGTATTAGTCCTTTCGGAGAAGTTTCTCGACGTTGTATTTAGAAGAACAAACCGTGCAATTGGTGACATAAAATACAATGGTAATATATGCTTACACATAACAAAGGGAGGAACTTTTTACTGCAGGTGTATATCCAATATGATTTGAATAAAAGCAATGCCGAGCTGGCTCTGGACTACGGTTTCATTGAACCAAATGCAGACCGGAATGCATATACCTTGACACTGCAGATATCTGAGTCAGACTCCTTTTTTGGTGATAAATTAGACATTGCTGAGTCCAATGGTTTTGGTGAGACAGCATACTTTGACATCTTCTACAACCGCCCACTTCCACCGGGGCTGCTTCCATATCTGAGACTACTAGCTCTAGGGGGCACTGATGCTTTCCTTTTAGAGTCAATATTTAGAAATTCCATTTGGGGTCATCTTGAATTGCCTGTGAGCCGTGACAATGAGGAGCTAATATGCAGAGTGATTAGAGAGACCTGCAAAACTGCCCTTGCTGGTTATCATACAACCATTGAAGAGGTATGATTTGTGTATTACTTTACGGGAGGAAAACCATGCATTAAAACATTTCCCTCTAGTTTATAGGTATAAAGTATCGATATATCCCATTTATAGGTATAAGGTTTCCTTATATGAGTATCACGGATTCTAGAGGAACCGCATGAGATCTTACAATGCACATTAATAGTGTGTGTGGAAGAGAGGAGAAAACAATGTATTACACAGCATTTTCATTTGTTTGATGCGAAAGAATATGGAAGAAAAAGGAGCCAAAAAATTGTCTTTTAGAAACAAAACTTAAAACTTTACTTCCACTTTCTCTCCAATTCAAATGCATTTTTTTTTTCACATATCATTTTCTTTCCTCCCAATCAGAAGGAGCCTAAATTGTGAAATTTTTTTTGTGCTGATTGAACTCAACAAATAAGTAACAATGCACGTGAATGGCAGGATCAAAAGTTGAAAGAAGCTAAGCTAGATTCAAGGCTTGCTATAGCAGTGGGAATTAGAGAAGGGGAGAAGCAGCTCCTGCAGCAAATTGACGAGATCTTTAAGGAGAAAGAATTGGAATTGGCCCAGTTAGAATATTATCAGGAAAGGAGGCTCAAGGACCTTGGACTTTGCGGGGAAAGTGGTGATATCCTTGGGGACCTTGGAAAATTCTTTTAGGAGGAAGAAGCAGAAGCATTAGCAGCAGTTAAGGACAAGCTTTTGTCTACGTTTCCAAAGGACGAGAAAACCTAAACTCTTAGTAAATCACAGAAGAAGGCTTCCAAGACCAATCTATGGCATGCATCCAGTTTATCTTTGAAGAGGATCATAATCAAGTTTTTTGACTCGCCCCCGTTTATTACTTTGATTGTTTGTGTAGGAAGATGCAATGAACTTTTAGAATGCCTAATCTGAATTAAAGACCGCAACATGAACAATTGTTATATAACTATACTGAACTCAAATTTGGATAAATAAATAAATTAAGGGTGAAATTGAAGATACATCTTTGCATGCCTCAATAGAAGCAGATATTTCCCTTTCTTTTTTTCCTTTTTTTTTTCCTCGTTACTTTCTTTTCCATGGTTCTCTACAAATTCATGTGTACATGATATAATTAAAAAGGCCATCATCATGTGTACAGCACTCGAGTAATTAAGTGGGAAGAAGCACTTCATAGATTCCTCTTTAAACTGGTTGTTGGAAAGAAAAGTTCATTTTGACATTATGCAGCTTGTCCTCATTGTATATGACTCGAGTTAAGAGCACCTAGCAAGTCATCACACTTGGATACCTCGCAGAGGCACTCGTAAGGGTTGGCATAGAAATAATCCTCTTCCTTTGGCTTGTCTGCTTCAACTCTACGACGAGTTGGCTGTCCCATTTTTCTTTCATGAACCTTTCTCACAGCATTTGCAAACTCATTCCATGAAAAGGTTCCATTTTGATGCATATCAAGTAATTCTACAAGCTTTTTCCGATCCAATAAGATGGACTTTTTAAAGCCAGAAAACCTGCAAGAGGACAAATTAGAGATTATTTTGTGGATTTTTATCAAGGCCACTATAGTGGAGTAAACCATCATTTTGACTCCTGGAAATTGTATTACTGATCACATTAGTCCCTGAAATTATAGAGATTCCAAATAAATATGAAATTTCCAGTTGTTTCATTAAAGTACTTGAACTTAATCGCTTCCTGTTGATTTAGTTCCTAAAACTATGTTTATGTTATTACTCAAGTCCCATTTTCTTAAAAAAGTTTGGGTTATACACTTTTAGGGACCCAAATGGTGGTTTACTTGCTTGGCCTTCTAATATAAATCAAATTGCAAGTAACAAGAGAGAATGCATGCACACCTGCGGTGGCCTTCAACAAGTTTTGCCATGTTACCGTAATATGTCGGAACAAAGGTGTTACTCGCTACAGAAACAATAAAATCCAAAGCTGCCATTTGTGATGAATGATTCCGAAACTGCAGCAACTCATCATTGGCCAGCAATGTCTCTTTCCTAACCTAAAAGTCAAAAGAATATTGAGACCAGAAGAAACCATTGTAAGAGAGAAATGTAGATCAGGCAGGTAAAGAATATTAAAATTTCTTTCACAAGTATTTTATTGAATTTGTAATATAATTTTTGTTATATGAACTGTAAATGGACAATTCTGCAGAATCCCCTGGAATCCATTATAGCATTTTATTAAATCCGAGTTAAAACACGTGTCAAATCATAATATATCACTATCTTTGCCACGGTTTGCAATCCTTATCTCAGCTTAAAGCTTCTGGTGAATCAGTGGGATTGTCAAGTAAAATAGTAGGATTCGTGGGGTCGTGTGATCCTACTGTGTTACAATCTGATCCACTTTTTTCACTGAAACTGGAAAAATCATGGGAAACCTGTTTTTGACCCAGTTCCACTGAAACCCGAATACTTTAGGCCGCGTCTTTCTTCTAGTTCTTGTGTCTGTCGTTCTGCCTCGTGCATAACTGCTTCTGTCTCTTCTCTCTCATCTACTCTCCTTCATTCTTTGATTCTGATGATATTTTGTGTTTAGAGTTGGTAAATTAAGCTGTTACTAGTTTAAATTTTTTTCACTTATTTATGTTATTTTGTAAGCATTACATATAAATTCATGTACACATACATATATTACGGATTTGGTAGGTTCTTTCAAACGGTGTAATGATCCAATGATTTATGATAATTAGCTCCCTTCTAGATCCTAAGTAGCTTCTCAATTTCAACTATTTAGATTATATCAAATATAGAACAACAAAAATAAAAACAGAAATGACGTGGGGATAGGGTATTGGTGAACCTACAATTCTTGGAAAAGCAGCTCTCAGTTGTGCTAATCTACGTTCACCACCATAAATTTCACCAGCTGCAATATATATTGGTGTCTCCCTAGCAAAACCCAAAGCTTGCAGAACTAAGGCTGCCTCCTCTGGTGTCAAAGGACAGAGACCCTGTGATCTCCTTTCTTCAGACACTATCTCCTTTTCTCTCCACGAAGGGAATGCATACCTGAATTACACAAGCAAGATAAAAAATTTTGAGATTGACCCTTTTTCTGCCAGCTCATTATAAATAACACTGACAACAGGAATATTTATTTTTTATGGAGGTAACTAATGTGTATTGTCAAAGTATGCAAAAACCAACATGTCAGGTTACTCGTGAACTACATAGACAGTTCCTCCATCAGCCCATGCAAATAGCATAAGGGGCTCTCTAGGATAGAACTGGAGGCATAATTAACTATCTAGAACCAATGACAACAGCTGTGATAGAGTAAAAAAAATTCTAGTGATCAACATCTTCCCCAGCAACTCTCAGATAAGAACCTACCTCTCACAAAAACCTATCCATAAATATATGCATAGTAAAACAAGAAAAATATGATACCTCATCCGCTTGAGCTCCTCAGCTTCTTCATTAGTGCAACCAAGCGTACAACCTGAGAAAGCCAGCATGTCCATTTCATATCTCAGATGCAAGGCCACAAAGGGTCCATTTTTACTAAGTATCCGAATCAATTTTTGGCCCAAATTCTCAAGTTCAGGAGTGAATTTAAGTGCCTGGAAATTCACACGACACCTAAGTTTCTGTAGATCAAGTGGGAGACCATTATTTGCTAGACGCGCATCTGTTTTGTTGAAATGTACCACCTTATGCTTGTCAAAAAGCGGAAGAATCTGCAGTGAGGAGTCAAGAGCACCAAATTAAACACAAAAAGACATGTACAACTCAATGAAAGAGGGAGGAAGAGAATATAATCATGATTCTGATAGTACAATCAATACAACCCTAAATCTGTCTACTGTATCCTGCATTTTCCTGTCCATATTTTGTTTCCTCTCTAAAGGACAAGTCAGTAATAATGCATCTAGTAATTTACAAATTACCAATTCACAGTGAAGAAGATCATATAGCCAAAAATCCAATGGGTATTGATAAAGAGAAACAAGAACTTTAAAGTTGTAACATGGAAGAAAATCCTTAGTTACCTTTTCTCCATTCACCCACATGGACATGTGTAAAAAATTAGAGAATCAATTCATTACTGAGAAAAATATTAGCAATTTTGTGGAACTCCTATTTTATATACAAGTGATCCCTGCTTTTATAGTCTAGAAGCATCTAATAACAAAATCAACAGTACAAATCTACAACATAAGTGCATAACTGGCAATCAACAACAAAATTATAATTCAGATTACACATCCATAATAATAGATACTCCCATATTTAATTTGGCAAGAATACAATTTCTGACATTTGTCATCTGCCTTACAATCATGATCATATAATAAAACTTAGAAATAAGATGACCATTATGATAGAACTGATATTGGAATAAGAAAAGATACAATCTTGAATTTTATTACCCTGCTTAATTCCAATCTTGTACCAGTGTAGTACAAATAGAGTCAAACGAAAAAAAAAGAAGGAAGACTGTAGTACACAAACAATCAGAGGTTATTTGAGAACCTCACTCTCCAACTATCGTTCTATTTCTGTTTTCTCCAAAAGTCTTTCCTCCTAACTCTCCTAGAACTATTATAAATAGTTCAGATACAGTTATAGTAACTACAATAACTTTTCCTTCTTTTATACTACCATAAGTTCTCCTTCTTTTACACATTACCGAACCTACCACTACACCCTCCATGAAGAATCATCTTGTCCTCTTAATGCAGGCAGCCCATTCCCAACTATTCTCACTTTCTCGAAGTTGTTTCCAGTTGAGAAAAACTTCTAACTCCCCTTTAGTATTAGTCCAGGTGTCCTATAGTTGTTCAGGAGTCACTTCAAGAGTATAATCTTTAGAAATCATAGGAGGTGGGGTTGTGAAGAGGTGGCTGGTCGTATTGCTGGTTTAAGTAAAGATACATGAAAGACTGGATGGATATGAATGTGTTCAGGGAGCTCCAACTTATATGCAACCAGCCCAATGCGTTCCACTACTTGGTAGGGTCCCTAAAAATCTTGGACTAAGATTTTCATTAAGCCTCCTTGCTAAGTAAGGATCAAAGTCATGTGGCTATAATTTCAAGAAAACCCAATCCCCTACTTAATATGCCACATCATGTTTGTCTTTATCACCTTGTACCCGATTTTTATCTTTTTCCTTCCACAAATTTGTCTTCGGTTCCCTTCAATATTTCATCTCGTTGCATCTACATCTGATTCACACTTTCCACTATAGATGGGATAGTAGTTCCCTTCAAATGTATAGGAGGATTACTCTCATAAAGTGCTTTAAAAGAGTCATTTTTGTTGAGGCACTATAGTTTGTATTAAACCATAATTATGCCTAGGGTAACCAATCTATCCATTGCCTAGTCTGAGTTTCAAGTCAGTGATTGACAACTTTTGTTTGATTGATGATGGTAAGTTGTCGTGTACTTTAATTTATTCCCAACCTGTTTAAACAATTCCCTCCACATTGCTTACATCTTTGGGAATTGGCCACCTCCACATTGCTTACACCTTTCTTGGGTCAGCTTATACTCCTTGACTTCAAATAATATGACCCAAGTACTCTAGACTAGGTTGACCCAAACTACGTTTCTTTTATTTATCTTTAGTCGTTTTTCTTGAAGCACCATTAGTACTTTTATTAAGTGTTGAACATGAATTTCAAAAGAGTGGCTTTAAACCAGAATATCATAAAAAAAAAACAATACAAACATTCTTAAGAAAGCCCGAGTAACTCATTCATCAGTAATTGAAATGTGGTGGGTGCATTTGACAACTCAAATGGCATGACTAAGACTTCTTAATGACCATCACGAGTCCTAAATATGGTTTTCTCAAGATCTTCTTCTTTCATGAGGATTTGATGATATTCAGATTTCAAATCCAACTAGAAAATATCATTGCTCCTGTCAATTCATCTAACAATTCCTCTATAACTAGAATGGGAAATTTGTTACGAATTGTTAATACAAAACCTCCATCCACCATTCTTTTTCTTTAGCAAAATAATAGTGCTTGAATAAGGGTTCATATTGGGTCTGATGATTCCAGCCTTAAGCATGTCATTGACCAACTTCTCAATCTTATTTTTCTGATATGGAGAATACTTACAAGGTTTGAGATTTGGAATGGAAACTCCCTCATTTAAGTGAATAAAGTAGCATGGTCAAGTTTTCTACTTGCGGATAATCCAGTTGGATCCTGAAAAACTTCTGTATACAATTCCAACACTTTTACTATCTTAAATGGTATTATCTGGTGACTTGCTGCTTCCTTTTCTCATATCCATTCTACCAAATACCCTGTACCTTCTTGCTTCAACTCACTCACAATCACTTTTGACAAAGTTTCAGTTCTGGATAAAGTGGGATCTCTTATCAAGGACTACTCCATTTCACCCTTTCCAATAGTTAACCTTAATTTCCAAAATCAACCTTAACTTCCCCTAAACTTGCCAACCACTACAAGCCCAAGACCACATATGCACCACCCAAATCAAAGGTGAAAAATATGATTGAATATTCAACCCTCGTAACATCAAAACAAAACCTTATAACATTCCTTGGCAGCGCACCTTGTGTCCATCTCCTACTTCAACTACATAAGGAAGAGTTTCTTCCATCTCTAGCCCACACCTTAGTTATAATTCTTTAGAAATGAAATTGTGAGATGCTCCACAATCTAAACCACCACCTTCTCATTCTAAATTCTTCCCCATACCTTCTAAGACTTCTTGGTGGTATGACCAGCCATAGTAAACATAGATAGCTGCAAGCCTTTCTCTACTTCGCCATCTCCATCTTCTTTGCCCATGGTGTCATCAAGAATTTCGTCATATTCACATATGTCTTCCTTGATTATAAGGAGCATGTGTAGTTGTTTGTTTCCGCAAACATGGTTAGGCCCAAACTTCTCATCACATCTGTTAGGTTTCTTGTTAAAGAAATCCTATCTCTCACTCAACAACTCTCGAAAACAGTACAGAAAGTATGTATAACCTCTGATATTATTGACTTTCAAGAATGAATGCAAGAATAGGAAGAACAAAGGAAGCTTAACCTTCCCCAACAAGGATAACCAAATCCTGTTTTAAAACTACTAACAGTCCAAAAAATCCCTCCCCTTATTCCCCTTAACTATTTATACAACAATAAGTGTTCCCCCTTCCTAACTGTCAGACAGTTAGGCCAGCTAATGCAACTAACTACTCACATACTCTTCTTTCTCCTAACATACACCCTCATCATCCTATCAACATCTGAAACATAATCCTTTCTTGATCTTATCTTGCATCTCTTCATCAAATAATTTCATAACTAGCCCCACGGTTGCGGTTCCATCCCTGATTATTTATCAAGCTATTGGTTATTTATGTTCTTTCCCCTTTTCCTCTACCATTGTAAATGGTAGTAATTGGATTTCCATCATCTCGAGAAAAGCTACCAGTCATCAAATACGGCCTATACCCATTGCTTCCTTTGTTCTCAATCAGCACTCCCCCTTTTGAATTAATAATGATTTTGATAGGTTTCCGAACAAGAAACCCAACCCAGAACTCCCTCACAATCTCTCACACCAAGAAAACATAGAGATATATGATGAATTGTGTATTATTAACAGAAAGAATAGTATGTGTTTACAAGATGCAGAGGCATAACCCTCTTCACAGGTCTAAGGCCTGTCAACAAACAATGTACTCAAAAAAACTGCTTCTAACTATCCAATCAATCTATTTATACAATTCCTCTCCTTCTATCCTAATCCCCTTTCCCATTATATCCAAATACCCTATATCCTAACAGATTTTCTCTTCAATCATCTAAGCCTTCGTCATCAATTCAGCAAGATTGTTGGGTTCATTTATCTTCACTTCTGCATTGATTTCCTCTTTCAAGTCACTCAAGAATATTACTATCAAATAATCTTGTTCAATGTCTTTTGAGAATCCTGCACATTGTTCAAATTGCTCCACGTAACTTTCTACAAAACCCGTTTATGTTAACCCAATCAAGATTTCAAGAGAATATTTTAACATATTGGATTCGAACCTTCTTACCCCTGCAACTTTGGAAGATTCCCATGTTGGATTTGGGTTACAAGTCTCCCACCATTCCAACTAGTTTAATGCCTTTCCCTCTAAAGCAATCCTCCCTGATTGCATTCTTTCCTCTTCTATTACCTCTTCCAAGCAAAAATACTACTCCAACCTATTTGTCCAGCCATATGCTTCTTCTACCGAATAAACAGAAGTCTCATGTTTCCGCACCGTGAATGAGGGTTTGGTTGCCACCTTTCTTCCCTTTCCCCTATGCCAATTCTTTCTTCCACCATGTATGGGGCATCCATTGTTTTCTTCTCACATGCTATTTTTTCCACAACAACTGTGAGACTAATTATAAAATCTTCCAATTTATGAAAACCTCGTGTTGCTCACTCTCCGTGTTCTCTCTATCATGAATAACTTCTCGCAACATCCATTCTAGCCAATCCATTCCTGCTTCCATCATCATGTTCACCATACCCCTCAAAATGCATCACAGTGGCACTGTTCCAAGACATTCTTTAATACTTCCTTACCATGTACACAGAAAGCAATTCAGGGAAATGTTAGGAAACTGGACAAGTATAATTATATATTACACTAAAACTAGACCCTCAATATAAATCTGACGGGTCTGGGAGGAAATATACACTCAAAAGCAATCTGATCACACACAGCCCTCCTCTAAAATGTTAAAGAAGCAAACAGTAAAAAAAGGGTAAATATTCTTGTCTTAGAACTGAATAGAGGTTAAGGTGAAGAATCATTAATCAATCCTTGTATCAAACATTAAATTACAAAGAGAAAGCTTGATTAACATACAGTACATAGTTTTAGCCCAAATGCAGTTAATACAATCTGCTGACCTGCTCCAAGTAATACTTTTCATTTGACCAGCTAACAGGAGGCATCTTCAGGGTAGTCTGCCCAATTTTCTCACTAAACCTTTTGGGAACTCTTTTCACTATTCGCACTTCATCTCGTAGAGAATCAATGAAATGTCTCACGTCAAAAATTTCCTCAAAATTGCTGAAAAAAATGAAACTACAAAACTTTAAAATGATATGGAAGCCAGTAGATAATACTCTTCATTTTAAAAACAAATGATATACCTAGGGTCTGCCCAAAATGATTTCTTATCAAGCTCTGGAACAACCAATGTGAGATTCAAAAGTCGAGAAATGGCCACCATGTCACAAATCTGAAATGCCAAATCTGCTATATGAATATTTAAGATCATCATAGAATAGGAACAGAGAAATAACAACATGGAAAATACAAACCGCTGCACGCATTTGATTCAAGCCCCCATTGCAGGACACTCTCAGAAAACCATTACTTGTATAATTTCCTGAAAATTTCAGGTCATGAGGTTTTATATTTACAGGAATGTGTAAAATGGTATAAAATTCAACTAATACCCTATCCATTAAACCATCTATTAATATGCATTGATTTATATTACATATACTTCACATATACTTTATTAGCATAGTCTTTTTCAAAATTAAGAATACCCAATATTGGAAATAAAAAATGAGACAATCAGATGAGCAAAGGCGTGGGAGCCCATCTAAAACAAGGCACAATTTTCATCCAGCAATTGGGCAACTATCAATACTATTAATATCCAAAGTGCAAGTCAACACAAAACTGCCTCAAGTGAATAGATACAAATGTATCACAATTAATATATAAAGGTTCATTTTATAAAATAAGTTAAAATGGAAACACAAAAGCTAGAAGTTGATTTTTGTGTAAGGTTAATGTGCACTTTAGTTTCACCTTATAATGGTACAAGTAAACAATCTTAGATGTGAAATTGGCTCCTCTAAAGTGAGAAATTCAATTCAGAGAGTACAATGAGATGCTAACCTGTTGGTTAGAAAAACAACAGGAAATATTTGAAGAAGTACATAATTTATTATGCATTTGCAAGTATTAAATCACAATCTTAACTGTTGGTTTCTCATTCAATGGCCATAGATTCTCACTTCTCTCTCTAAAATGAATCGCTCACTTTATTGGAGTCAAATCCCATACAAGCATGTCTTAAAATATGCAAGTCTAAAGAAGGGAATATATAATTATAGTCTCCTTTGTTTTCCAGTTTCTGTTAAGCCAATGAAGATTGTTGCGGACATCACATTCAGAATTCAAGCTAGGTAAGAATTTGATATAGACTTCATTGCAACAAGTATAATTCCTGATCACACAAAAAGGCCATCAAGTTAAACAAAAATTCTACTGAGAAGCTATAGAATCAGAAATGTTGTATGGAGGTGACGGCCGGCAGTGAAGAGTCAACAAGTGCCAAATTTAACTGTAGCTGAGAATAGAATAGTGAGGTCGATCACTTGATATATAAGGAAGGATATGAAAGGGATATTAGCCTAATGTGGATCAGTTATGCGAGAAGAAAACGCAAAGATGCTTCAATGAGAATATTAGATCAAATGGAAAATAATTAGACAGGGATAGACTGTGGAGGAAGAGTCAAAATGTCAGGTTTACCAAACTTTTGGTCTTGGATAGAACCCAAAGGCATCAATTGATCGAGGTAGATGACTCACATAGAAGAATATAACCGGATTGTTGTTTTCTAAGGGCATAAACAGCATAAACTATAAATCAATTCATCCTTGGCAGGATTCCTCAAAACATGATCGTAAATGCCAAATTAATATTGATTTTATAAATCATAATTCACTATGATATCTGCATCTAAAGTTGAAGGGATAAATATTTCAATTCTTCTTCCTCATAACTGAGTGTGAAACCCATAAGTCTACTAAATGACAAGCACCAATCCAAAAAACCAAAAATATTTTTCTAGAAGATCCTACAACACATAAACATTCAGTACCGACTTTCATCTAAGCCCGATCATCACCTCCAGACAACAAATACAACTCAGACTCAACAATATGGATTTCACTGCTCAAATAATATTGGAAAATCTGAAGGGGAGAAATAGCGAGGAGATCTTCACGTATGAGTCACACGTAAGGTTGCATCATCACAGTACCGAAGCTATAGTTGTCCAAACCCACATCCATAATCACTTAAACAAACCAAAACTATAAGCATGAAGTAAAGAAAAACTAACTTGGAGGAAGAAAAGCGGGAGGCGGTTGAACAAGTTCATTATTTGTTTGGAGAGGACTTTGAATTGTGTGATGTATTCGACTTGAAATCCCCAAAAAGAAATGGGAACGCCATAATTCACTCACTGTCACTAGCTGAAACAGACATGTCCAAAGCACAATGCTCGAACACGCTCGAATGAACCAAACCCGCAAACGGCTCCTCGGATTCGCAGCGCCAGCACCCTGAAGCTTATCGCTCCTCCCGTGAACACCCTCCATTCCTCTGCCACAAACCTCATTGCCACGTCATCACAACAACCTTCACACGGTTTCCAACAATCCAATTACAACAAAATCAACACAACACCTCTCACAAAAACAAAACAAGAGAAAGGAAAAAATAGGCAGTCATTCATAAACATTGCATTTAAAATACCACAAATTGAAGACTTACCCCAGATATAAACACACTACTTGCCACCTTTGAAGAAATTGAAACCGACCCAGAATTGAACTTGAAGTGGGTGATTGCGGGCAAGGCTCAAAATAAGATCTTTCTGCGCCCCAATTGGTTTAACACAATTTGAAGCTTTTATTCAAGAATCAGAGACAGAGAAAGTGGGAAGAGGAAAACGGAAGACGTAGTTGTGGAGGACGAAGACAGGGAGAACAGGGAGGGTAAGATAAAAAAGAAGGACGATGACGATCGAATCAGAACGGTCAGACACAGAAGATTCATGCAAATTCCTTCCCTTTCCTGGGAAAAACTTGTTTCTTTATCCCTAACGCTCTCTCCTCTTTTTTCTTTCTGTTATTTTGTTCCACCGGACAATTCCAATGGGAAATTAATGTTGTCTATATCTAGACAAAAATGTTCATTTTCTCTCTCACACTGGCTTATCAAACTTTCCAGGAATTTGAATTTTGAAGTTGCCATGCTTTTAATATCGGACAAAAATTAACTTTTGTAATTCAAATCACATTAACTTTTATATTCCCATTTAGGTCTCTCTAATTATTTTTCTTTAAATTGTTCACTCACCGCCGTCTTATTGATACGAAGTAAATATAGTTATTTTTATATGAAAAGATGGTTTTTTTAGTTAAAAGACTAATTTTAACTCCACACCAAAGTACGATATCTTTGTTATAAAATTTTGTGACCAGGAAGAAAAAGAAAAGTTTGAGCTTTTAGGACAAAGAGATCTACCGGGTTTGTAAAAGATTGATTGCGAAGTAAGTCTCAGATTTATTTATGATAAGACAAAGTGATAAATGACAGTGCAATTTTTTTTTTCTCGTATACTCTTAGCAAGAATATTTTGATGAGAATTTTGTTTGCTTTTGCCTAAAAGGATGTTTATACGTAAAGGAGGTCAAGAAATAAAATCAAGAGAGTGCATTAGCCGAAATTAAATTCATGTTCACTCGTGAAATAGAAATGCATGTAACTTGCGAGGAGATGATCATTGAAAAAGTTAAGGAAAAGATTCTATAACAGAACAAAGCCAAAAGGAAAGTCATCCCAAGAGAAATTTAGCTTTCATAACAGTTGTTGTGATGAAGATATGGGTCAGGTTTCCATTTCATGACAAATCTGCCACTGTCATCACAATTTGAAATAGAAAATAAAGCCTAAGCACAAATGATATGTAAGAGCAAAGATTTATGTATTGATTAAGCCAAACTCCTCAATATTATGCAGCTTAATTATTAAAGGACCATTTAAAAGGGAGGAATTTGGGTTTACTAGCTATGAAGATAAAGACTTGCTTTAGTATTAAAAAAAGACTTAAATGCTTACTTCGTCCTCATGTTAAAAGGTAAATTTCAGTTTAATATCCGGTTTTAAAAATAAAAACATTGGGTTTCTATGTTATGAAAAGCGTATAAATAAGGTCTTGTCCATTAAGTTGACAAC